ATACGTGTCTTTAGTTATTTGAGTTTTTTATGAAAACGACAATGTTTTTTAAAAAATAATAAGAGTAAAAAAAGTTTTAGAATTAAATTCCACATGAAATGAGGTAATAATGTATTAAATCGACCAAAAGGTTAAAAAAATCTGTCCAAATTTAGGGGACCATCACCCTTAATCAACTCTTTGAAATGCCTCAATTGGTCTCAACTTGCTACCAATTAATACCCTTGGTACACTCATAACGTATACCAAATTTGGTTATTCTAGCTTAATGTATTATGAAGATATTCAATGTTTTAAAAATTTAAGACCCAACTTTGAAGGCCTATAACTCCTCAGGGGTACAACTTAGTATAGAGATAAGTTGCGTTAAATCATCTTATTTATTGTCCTCTGCATGTCCCTGCACTGTGTCGGTTCTTATGTGAATCACCCTGTATATCACTTATAGGTTAGGTTTTCAATAAAAAAGATAACTTACTTCCATCCTACTTCCCAGCCATAAACAATGAGAGTAGTATATTGCTATCTCAGTCACATTGGATAAAAATGGCCGCAATTAAAACTCTTAAGATTTTTTGGGTGCACAGTAGACCAAACCTCATCTATATTACTATTTTTGTCTATGATTACTACCCACACGTTGACACCGCCATGTCAACTACTCAATATTATGTCATATAAAGTTTCAATAATTGACACGATGCCTAATAAAGCCATTTTTTATTTTAGGGCATTTTCAAAAAATGAATACATATTTTAGAGCCCAAAACGAACAACTAAATGTATTTTTAATCAAAATTATAAAATAATGTTAACATTTGCAATGCTTATCTTTCAGCTTATTCTTAGCAAACTTCACAAGCATATTACAATAATCGAATGAAAACCATGCACTCGTTGAAATCAGACAATCATTGTGTCACTGGCGCTGTACTTAATGGCACGATAGTCTGTATTTACGTCGCTAGAGAACTATGCTACATAGACAAACATATTTCGATCTTTTGCCGCCTGTGTTTCTCTTGTTAATTTATTTTTTCTTCATAAGTGTCAACTACTAGTGCAGTGTCAACTACTGATGCTTTTACCTTAATCGAAATCCTAAATCATATGCAATAATTAACCAGTGTCAAGACTCTGTTCTAGCTAGAGAACACCTATGGTTGAGTGGAGTCTTACTTATTTTTCTAACAAAGTTTTCAATCTATTTAATAATTTTATCTACGACTGCTTGGATAAGTCATCATTACCGCACTCATTTGAGGTGGTTTGAGTTACGTAATGAAGTTCATTACCGCACTGGTTTCATTACGTAACGCATTTTTAGCCTAATCAGAACAGACTTAATTTATTAAAACGAGCAACAATACAAAAGAAAAAGTGCTATCTACGTACAGAGAAACAATACTATTTATTATAAACATTAATTGTTATGTTTTTACATTTCGAAACACTTATTCCAGATGAGTAAACATGTTGTTGAAACTGACAATTCAAAATTGTCAACAATCATTTCAAAATATTTTTATAAATGTCAAATAGACTTTTTTAAAGAAATTGATTTTTTAGTAATTTTTAGCAGTCCTAGATAAAATGCTGTATATCACACGTGGGCTAGAGCATAATTACAGTACTCGTGTGATTACACGACTCGATCTACGACTTCGTCGTGCAATTCTCCACACTCGTACAGTAATTATGTTTCTAGCCCACTTGTAATATAAATAACTATAAACATCAGATTGCCTTTGGGATTAACCATTCGTTTCGTTGTAACGATATTTTTCCTTTTATCGTGCAGTACAACTTAAAAAAAATGTTCGGAGAAATATAGCAATAAAAGCAATCGAATTTTTGTCGTAAAAACAAACTGTCCCTGTATAATTTGGATATAAAAAATTTTTAAATTATTTTAATACAAAACATTTATACATATTTTTATAACAAAATCATTTTTGTTGCCAACACAATCTCTATTTTTTAAAATACATATAATACAATACCAACATCAAATTGGAATGAATCCCATACTCTGATATTATAGCTTTGATAAATATTATTTGTAAGCTAAATTACTACGTTGGCGTTGTAGAAAATAATCCGCCCACAGAGAGATACCCCGATATTACGTTAGTTATCACCACTATCAGACCGAATGTAAACGCGTTTTAATGGTTCCAAAAGCGTACATATTCGTTATTTTCATTAATTGATGTATGCGCGCGGTGGTTTGCCGTTTACCATTGATCCCTATTGAGGTTTTCAAAGTTTGTTATTTTTGCGTCAACCCCAATGATCGCGCAAACGGATCAAATTCAATGAAGTTTTATGAATTTGTCGAAATCCATTTGATTGTTCCCGTGAATGAATGTATTCATTGACCAATTTTCATCAATGTGGAAATGTTTTTAGATAAAATAAAATAAAATTAACTTTTAGTATTAATTAATTAAAAAAATCAAAAAGTACCATGGAATACAAAAAATACATAAATATTATATATTAGTTTTATTTAAAAGTAAATAAAGTTGATTTCTAAAATTAGCCCAGTGTTGTTTTAAAAAATTAACAGCCATCATTTTATCTTCACCATTTAAATTACTATAAATCAAAGAATCAGTGGCAATTTTTTCAAAAAGATTAAAACTACCGGATTTATCATTAACCATAAACATAAGAACGAGATACCAATCGTTACTCAAAGGATTTGTATGCCATAATCCCGGATATTCGTTGCATATTATCAATCGATTTCCGTCGGAAATATACCTAGAAACGAATTCTTTAAAATGTATTTTGTTTTGTTGAAAATACACCGAAGTAGGGCAAATTTCAATGACTCTATTTTCATTTTTATCGAAACTATTTGCAAAAAATAAATCACTTAACATTTCTCTTTGACTTATCAAAGCAATTCGAGACGTTGCATGATCAATTTTTTGTTTAAAATAAGCTGGATTTAATCTTTTTGTTCTATGATAATAGATTTCAACCGTTTTTGGTAAAGCCGCTAATAATCGTAAACTGACTGGTTTAAAAAATTCGATTCCACCGATTAAATCGGGAAAAACCTTCGTTATTGCACGTACAATTAAGATGCTACGTTTAGGATTAGTTACTAAGTTAGTACCGAAAGGTGAAAATACAATTTTCGCTCCAATAAACGTTGAATTTGGATTTTGAAATTTAAATTTATAAATAACTTTATTGATTATTCCAGCCACAGTAATAGGATCGTAATAAACACTTGTTTTACTGTTAAAAAATGCAAAGGATGTGCGAAATTCAACATAAGATATTCCATCGTTAACTTGTTCAAGAAGCATTTGAAAGATGTAATTTTCAAACGTGGTTATCTCACTTATTAAAGATTCGATAACTTTATATTTCTTTAAAATCATTAATTCTGTTGGATTTTTTGCTTCTTCATCGGTGATTAAAAGAACTTTTTTTAAATATTTATCAAAATCGTACTGTTTTTTTCTTAAATTCTGTATTAATTCGCATTTATACCCAATTCGTTGATGATAAGCGAAAAGAAAATTGCCGAAACGATTTGTACACCCCAATAAATCTTGTTTCCATGTTAATTTGTAAATATATTCGTAACTAACCAATGAGTATAAATATCCATGAAGATTTGCTCCTTTTGGCATCGCTTTGATAATATTAAAAAGTGGTGATCGATCGACTACCCTTCGAAAATCATAATAACTCTTAACGAACGATTCATTTAGATATTTAAATTCACCATTGGTAATATTGATCAAATAACTCTTTAATTCATTTTCAATTACATTTTCTTGAATTAAATTTTCTTCACTTTGAAGGAATTTGATTACACTGATTATAATGACCAAACATTGTAAATGAATACTTTTCATTGCTATTAATTGTTTAGGTAAATTTATTATCGATATATATTTTTTTATTACGATTGTTAAAATTAAATAAAATTTTATTTTTTTGTGTAGGTTAAAATATAATGGCCTACACTCGACTTTCCACAATTTTAATAATATCTAGGAAAATGCTTTCAAAAAATTTTAAAACTGTAAGACAAAGAAGCCCAAATCACTTCTTCCGTAGATCTCAAGTTTTGATGAAAAATTTCGAATTGAGCTCAGCTCTTACTTCTGAGATACGAAAATCTCGGTGTTATTTCTTACCGTTATAGTTCTAAATCATTATAGATTATATATTATTACGTATAATAAATAAATAACATCGATAATAAATATTATAAATATCTGATCCCTCACCATCGTACCCGCCATCTCTTAATATCGTCGCTAATTACTCTCAATATTATCCCTAACCACTATCAACATCGTTCTTCACATCTCCTGCTTCGACATCAATACTAGACTCATAAATATTGCCGTAAATATCACTCATCATTGTGATATTGAGGGTTATAAGCAAACTTCCACATCACCCTGAAGTTCTTTAAGATTATCTCTCAACCTCTGAACATTGATATCTTTCAACATCCTCTCTGACATCTTTTAATAGCATTAAAGCTACTTTTAAAATGCTTAATACATGTTTCAACATCGTCTCTAACATACCTACCTAACTAGTATTAATATCATTCCCCCCATCTTTCAAAGTCATTCTTCACCTACCTCAACATCAACTGTAGTCTACTCAAAATTGCCTGACATATCTTTCAACATCGTTCCTGACATTACTAATTATCATCCACAACATCTCTTAACGTAGTCTCTAATTGTTCCGGATGTCGTCCCTGACAGTCCCGAATACTCATTGGTAATATCGCGTTCTTTAAGACTGTTTCTGATACCTTACAACATCGCCTCTAACATCATTTAACAGCAATAACACTGCTGCGTTACATCTCTCAATATCAACACTAACTACTCTCAATATAACCAATATCGTTCTTTATTTGTCTCAATGTCATCCTCCACCTGATTCAACATCACAATACTGGTTACTTAAACATAATCAGGCATATCTCTCAACATCGTCCCTATCTGTTCTTGATGATGATATACTGATGACCTGGTAATCCCAATCCGAGGTAAATATGACACAATCATAACTTAACTAATGCAGAAAGCTTTAGTACTCACCAGTACTTGGTTCAGAAGCAATGGGCTCAACATCAATCCATACAAAATCGAAATAGTCGCTTTCACTCGAAGAAGGAAGCTACAGTTGAGAGCACCCTCTATTGAAAGCAGAACTATTAACTTCATAACAGAACTTAAATATCTAGGGGTAATACTAGATAGTAAATTAAACTGAAACTCCCACATAGACAAGGTAAAGAAAACGGGCATTATGGCTAACCAGATCTGCCGCAGGCTCCTCGGAAGGAATTGGGGTCTCAATCCACGAATGGCTCATAGCTCAATCCACAGCCTACGTAGCAATAATTAGACCCATGGTCGCCTATGCCTCACTGGTTTGCCTCAGAAATCCAGCGGTTAGCATGTCTTAATATAACGGGTGCGATAAGATCTTATCCGACGGCTGCTCTTGAGACCCTACCTCACATCACTTCATTTATATATACAAAAGGAGGCAGCTTTAAGTGCCTTATCACTTATGACTGAAAACAGGTTCATCACTCAAGTTGATGCAGAGTAACCTCAGAGGACACCTCGAAATCCTCAAGGACCCATGTGTAAATCACTTGATTGAAATTAAAACGAACCTTATACCGACAGAATACAATTTCGACCAGCCGTATACGGACATATTTAGCTGCAGGGATGATTGGACGAAGGGCCCTAGCCTGATACACCGATGCTTCAAAGACAGTTGGATCCAGAGTAGGCATGGGCATCAGTGGACTCAAATAGTCACATTAAATTGCCCCTCAGCTCGGACATAACGACTTTTCAATCAAAAGTTTTTGCTATAAACTTCTGCACCGCTTTGAACCTCCAAAAGGGACAGAAAGGTGTATCCATAAACATTTTCACAGACAGTCGGGTCCCCCTAAAGGCCAATCAGGCCTACACATGTGACTCGTCACTGATCAGAGAGTGTACCAGCAACCTCGCTACGGGAAATTATGTTACTCTATGGTGTGTTCCAGGTCACAGAAACATTGAAGGCAATGAGAAGGCGGGCAAGCTGGTCAGAAAGACAGCGAAAACGCCCTTCATTGGACACCAACCTGGTTATGGACTACAAAAAAGCCATCTAAAACAAACATCAACAGTTGGGAGGCCTCAAAGGTAGCCTTACGCTGGAAAGAACTTCCAGGTCACAGACAAGCGAAGAATATGATAACTTCTTCGCAAAACAAAACCAAAGCAATTTTATGCCACAGCAAAGGGGATCTAAGGACGCTCTCAGGTTACCTGACCGGCCATGCTCCCCTCAAATACCACCTCTTCCACATTGGACAAGGGAGGATCAAACTTGTCGACTTTGCAACGACGAGAAACGGCTGAACATACTATACTGTGTAATTGCGTCGCCAGTGGCGGTCTAAGACATAAAGTTTTCGGTAAAGCTCTTTTGACACATACCGACATAAAGGAACAAAACCTTGGAGCAATACTAAAGTTCATTAAGGACCTACATTTGCCCTAAACTTTTGGAGGGCTAAAGTTACAATAGATCTTATAAGTCGCGATGACGAGAGAGGCCACTCCCCACAGTCGGGCAGGAATAATAATAATAATCTGTTCTTGATATCGTGTTTTTTTAAGATTATCTCTCATCGTCGTTCTTCAAGATAATCTCCAATATCTCTCAAGATCGTCCCTGTTATTTCTCAACATCATCACTAACTACTTTCAATATCATCCCTAACTATAATGAATATCATTCCTCACATCTCGAAGTCATCCTTCACCTACCTCAACATCAACTCACAATCACATCTTCTCGACACTGCCTGACACATCTCTCAAGCAGTCAAACTGGTTTTAAAGTGGTCCCTTACATCTCTCAACGTCGTCACTAACTACTCTCAATAACATACCGCTATCCGATACCACTATCAATATCGTTACTCATATCTCTCAAAGTCAACCTACATTTACCATAATATCAACTCTGGGTTCCCAGAAATTGCGCAAAATATCTCACACTATCTCTGATATTATTATATCATGCAGCTCCCAACACTAACGATAAGTACTTTTGATATCAATTCAAACAACAATCAATGTTATGATCATATCTCTTTACTCATCATCTTGAACTCAACACCTATGTCGTCTCGGACATCATCAAACAACATCAAACTCGCTTCTATCAAAATTATCATTAATATGTAATAACATTGTCCCTAACCATTCTCGATATTGTTCGTGAATTTTTTCAACGCCGTCTTCGTATTCTTTAACATTGTGCTTGATATCTCTTAACATTGTTTCTAACGACTGTTGAAATTGTCCTTGTCATCGTTTAACGCAGGTCTTACATCCCTTAATACTGTCTATGATATGTCTCAACATCGTGCTTAAAATTTTTAGTCATTCAATTTAATCCATAGCATGCCTGCTATCTCTCGTCGTCATTCTTTGCGTCATACAGTATCGACAATTGCGTCTCCAACTTCTTTAAATATCGTCTCTAGCATTCTTCAACAAAAGTTTAACTATTTTCGAAGTGGTTCCAAACGTCTCTCAATATTGTCACTAACCACTGTCAGTATCGTTCCTTACATATCGCAAAGTATTTAAAAATATACAATATTTTCTGCAATCCTCATTGTATCATCCTCATCCGGTATCCAATTTCAACATAACATGATCTAAAAGTTGTCAAAATTACGTTGTTCAACTACTTATTTCAACCGATTAGAAATATTTAGACAAAATGTCATTACGTTAGCAATGGCAGTATATACTTTGTCCCAGAAAATTGGTTTGTGAAACACATTCAATAACATAAAACAATTAAAAGTGCTTCAAAATCATGCTCGAATGTTGCATAAAAAACTTGTTCGTTGATCGATTGTTGAATTTGCTTCTAGAGTGTTTAACCTACGCTATAGGATAGTAATTCAATTTCTTTTCCTTTCTCAAAAATTCCATAACACTTTGAACCATCAGTCAACAAATATGATGTTACCTTCAAAGAAGTGTTCATTATATCTCGATTTTTTTTTTCGCAATGCGGTAATTACTTTGCAATCTTTAGATTTGCTACCAACTATAGGATTTAACGAAGACTTTTCTTCTACTTATTCCATAATTGATTCAGCCTCGCAGATTTGTTGGCGTGACAATATCTACCATCAAAGATGTAACAAGCTATGTCATCAGCAATATAAAATTCTTTAGCTATAGGAGTGGTGTGATTCATATGTACAGAGCGGTCGTTATTGTTAATAAATTGAGGTTGAAAATTTCATTTTTAGAAATATTGGATAAAAAGAAAGATGATTATTCGAAAGTGCACTACGTAGTTTGCATAAAAAGTTGCTACATGTTTAGGTTACATATTCGCGTAAAGATGTAGATTTCTTCAAATTGCTCTATATCGTCTGCAACCCCGAAACATATTATAAATCTTCGCAGCCCTATCTGATATTCAAGAAAATGAATGATGAGAATTATGAAAAGTTTTTATATAATTATTATTAGAGTACATATCGTTTCAACGCTCATAATGACCAAAATACACGTATTATGTCAAACTGTCACACAAAGACTACAGAAATTTTAATAAAAATTGCCAAAAGACGATGAAAATTGTTAAATTTATTAAATTATTTCGGTGCTACATGTTTAGACAGTACATTGTCTTCATCGGACACGACTAAGAATAATAAACAAAATAACGAAAAAACATGTCAAAAGGTAATTAAAATACTATGATATCAAAAAATATAACTATCAATTACAAAATAAATATTTACCGTCAATTTGGAAGAATACGAGGATGAATAATAAAAACTGTCCAAAAAATGAAAAACCATCAAAGTCAACAGCGGTGGACCATTATAGTAAAAACAGAAGGGAGGGAAAATGTTAAAAACGGGGGTCTGGAGATTATATTCTTATATTAATTATTCCTTCAAAAAACTACTCAAAAAGCTTTTTATGTGGAAATTAAATAACGGGAGTATGAAAAGGGATAAATGATTATTATTGTAAATTAGTGAAAGGATATTTCTAAATTATGGAGTTTAAGCAGAAATAAAAATTCTGAAAAAGATAAAACGAGGAATAAACTTGAGAAATAAAAAGAACAGATGGCGACTTACGTTCATCGTCAAAAGTGGTTTATGTAAAACTAAAAAACCGGAAAATGTGAAAAGAAATCTTAAAGTATATTAAAATAAAAGAAAAACGTTCTTCATGAAACGAAAACTGGAAGAGAAACAAAGAAAATCAACAATTAAAAAAAGAAAAAATGGGGGTGAAACTTACCAAGAAACATAAAAATGAATTTACTCTTAACAGTTCACATGTTTACGTTGTACTTAGGGTAAGAAAATAAGACAAAGTTGAGCATGCGTAAAAAGATGGGAAGTAAGAAAAATGGGGGCGGTAAGAATAATAAATTCAAAATTATTTAAAAAATTATGGTTGAAATAGGGAGAGAAATAAATGTTTACATTATAAAAAATGTCTGAAGGGATTTTCTTCAATATTTTCGTTCATAAGGAAACCGTTATTAGCACTAATATAGTATTCCTCGTATAAATCCATCTCACGCGATTTACAAACCCTCTTAATTAATTTAACATTATCTATGGAAATCTTATGTTTAGATTCTTCTATTTGTTTGAAAACTGCGGAAGTTTCCTTGGAGGAGTGTTCTTTAAATCTAATAAGTTTAATGTTACGACCCGTCTGTCCGATGTGCTTACATCAAATCGCATTCCGGGCAATGAATGTTGTAAATACCATAGTATTACTATTCATTACTATTCATCCTCGTATTCTTCCAAATTGACGGTAAATATTTATTTTGTAATTGATAGTTATATTTTTTGATATCATAGTAATTTTAATTACCTTTTGACATGTTTAATAAATTTAACAATTTTCATCGTCTTTGGGGAATTTCTATTATCTTTTTACGATGAACTTAGAATCAATCCTAGCCAAAATACAGAAACTAGTTTGTTGGAAAGAATATCGATTAAGTCGATCTCAATACGCTCAATTACCATGAAATTCCCGCAGTGATTAAAGAGTTATTCTAGTTTTGAGTGGATTAGATTTGTTCTTTTTCATTTTAATATTTCCTATAAAAGGGAATCAGACTGAATTATTCGGAATTAGAATCTAAGACTCGCTGTGGAGAAAAAGAAAAATTCTTTGAGGCAGCGCACAAACGCAGAGTTTTAGAAAAGTTTGTGTGAGATACATTGAAAGAACAGATTGAAAAGAATATTAAAAGAGTATTACAAATAACGTGTTACGAGAGAGCATAATCGGGACAATTAATGGTTTATCTACTGTACAAGTTTAATAGATCCCCCAAAGGCTAAGATAATAGATAGCCTGTATATTCATAATAGGAAAATCATAACTAAAATTTCGATACACTCGGTTATTAGAATTTGGTAATCAGATATGCATATATTCAGATAGGTTTATTTAAAAACCACACAGACGTCATCACACGTTTTGTCAAAATGTGGGTAAAACGTTACTACATTAAACATAGCTATAAGAATTATTAAACTATATTGAAAACAGTTGATCACTTGTCAAAGGTTCTAACTTTGACAATATTTAGTTAAAATTTGGCGGTTCAATCTAAAACAGTTGGAATTTTTTGATCATGAGCAATCATATTGAACAAAAAAAATGAACAGTAATCATTTTTCGTTGAAAATGTAGAAATACAGCGTTTCTGGACGTCAATGCTTACTATTCAAGCAATAATTGCCCGATTGCGACTCAAAGGAAAACTGCGACCGAATACAAGCTGAAGATAACTATTCCAAGTGGTATATAATTAAAAATTTAATTAAAAAGATCGATATGTTAAAAGTGAAGTAAGAAAATTTCAAAAAGATTGGTTCATGCTGCACGACTCCTCGAATCACTAAAGTATTTGAAGAACTGGAAGAACACTTTGAAAACCGCATTATGGCTCTAGGGTGCTCCAAGGTTATTGGAATGGGAATCACTTGGTCGTCATATTTCTCTAATCTCAACTCCAGTTACTCATTTTTGCGGGGCAATAATAAACACTCTTCGCCAGCAAAGCCATTCATGACAAGCATATCAAACATGCCATAAACTAAATCCAAATATTTGTAGTTACTTTTAAAATTGATTTGTTATTTTGTAAACCTCAATAACTGTCACCTTCAATCTCTATATGTAATATTTCGAAACTCTTTCGTTTTTTGCCAAAATATTATATACATATAAATAACTTTTCATAGTTCTTTCACTGGCTTGTTGCTTAATGGCGGTTATTTTCATCCGTTACATCACGAGTCGCTTTGGCAACTTTGTTCTTTTGACACGAAATACTTTCATGTGGAAGCTTGATTACCTCCAAGCAGTTTTCCTCGATGTCGAGTGGGTAAAGTGTGACGACATCAGAAAATGAAAACGTCCAAATAATGGTATGTTTTGACTTGAATCAGAGTATTGAATCAGTAGTTCTTAATTTAACCCATTTACTAGCAAAATAGTTTAATAAGGAAATACAACATGAATCAATCCTCGATTAATTTGATAAACTTTCATAAAACCTTTCCATATAGACGTATTAATTTAACTTCTAAGGAGTAAAAATGTATGAAAATTATGATCCGTCATATGTTGTTCGTTCTCTTTTTTGATCAAATCATTGAATCATATGATTCACTGAAATCCCCATTACGTCAGTGCTAGTAAAGACACAAACATGGGGAGTAAAGTCTTTGTGTCACGTGATTGAATATAGAATTAAATGGTGTTCTAAAGGAATAAATTTATTGTATATGCCGAAAAAAAATCGTAATAACAGTAAAGTCTTTGTGTCACGTGATTGAATATAGAATTAAATGGTGTTCTAAAGGAATAAATTTATTGTATATGCCGAAAAAAAATCGTAATAACAGTAAAGTCTTTGTGTCACGTGATTGAATATAGAATTAAATGGTGTTCTAAAGGAATAAATTTATTGTATATGCTGGAAAAACATCGTAATAAGAGTATGTCAACCACCGAAACCGTTTTGGAACTTATTGAAGATTTTCTTGAATCGGGAAGAAAATTATGCACCAACAATACCTACATATCTCCTCTATCAGCCCGAAAATTGCTTGAAAATAGAACACATCTGATGGGCACTTTAAGAAAAAATAATGTTGAAAAAGTTATTACAAAAGCATTGAATCGAAAAGAAGTTATTGCATGTCAAAATAGCTAAATTGTCACAGCTTTAAAGTACAAAGATAAAAACT